CCTCAAAACAACTGTTTATATCTGCAAATCTTACAAAAGTTAGTTTTACATTCTATACATCATATCATCATATGTTTCTTCAATCAAGCACTCATTAAATATCTGGCTACACCTACACTATTCTAAGTTCTCCTGGACATTTATGGAAAAGTTATAATGTGATATACATGCTGTTACTATGCAACTTCATAAACAACTAACTTGTAGTAGCATGGGATCTAAAAGGGAAAAGGCCATGTAAACACAAATAAAGGAAAAAAATAAGATCACATTAAAGGCTATGAAGATGGTGGTATAGCATCAGGAAGACAAAAGTAAACTGTCGGTACAGTTCTAAGGAGAATCTATTATTTAATCAGAATGTGATGCAGATATACAGACTTCTAAACAAACCGGCAGAAAAGTCCTGATTATTAGAAATCCTCCTGCCACACACAAACCAACTTTCATCGGAATAATCTGCCTCTAGATTTCGGTACCAAACTGTTTTCCTACAAATCCTATTTACACAGCCCAGGCTCCTATGACTCATGTCGACACCTGTTAGTCTGTTAACTTCTGCCTGCATCTCCCTCACGCCTTCCTGCCACTCTCCTCACAAAGGCAGCCAGGATCCCTCCCTCTAGGAGCACCTGCAGTGTGTTAGGTGTTACCCAAGATGTGCAGGGCACACTCTCTCACAACTAACCAAGGAGGGAAGTGTTAATATCGCCAATGTGCAGAAAGAAGACAAAAACAAACAGGCCGAACCAGGTCTGTGATCAGAGGCGAGATCTGAATGGAGGTCTCTAAAACTGTGGAGTCACCAAACCCTCTTCCCCAAAGTTATCTCTGATGATGAGCAAGGCGCACAAGGCCTGTAGAGGGACAGACCAGTGACAATCTGTGGGGTGGACACATGGCTCCAGCTTTCACTGCCCAGCTAACAAAATCCTCTTGCCTGCCTATGTTTATGAAATATTTTATTTTAGGTTTAAGCTATATATCCTGATCCTTTTCACTGGCACTCTTGTCCTTGCTGAAAGTAATAAATAGTATCTACCTGTCTAAGCTTCAGAAGGTATGACAGAAAAAGAAAGCGATTTCAAACTCCCAAAGCTCCCTTCATCAGCTGAGACCTCCTCCTCCATCTAAGAGCTACAGCAGAGGCAAGGGGGAGACCTTGCTCAGGCTTCACTGGTAATTTTTGCAGTATGTGTAAATGTGGCTGCAAAATGACACATGCTGCAGAGGAAATATATTACACAATAGAGAGGAAATTACATTCAGATACGGCCACATGCATGCATATTCCAAAAGTGACTCCATGGTTTTGCTCACTTTAAGCCAACTATCTCTAAAGGAAATTTTGGAGATTCTCGCTAGCTTTGTGAGATTATCCAAGTGGGACTTGCCTGCAGAGCGCTAACTGGTTGGTTGATTCTTTTCGTAACTAACAGTCTCCCATGTGGCTCTGGTCACTTCATTTAGGGGCGTCATAAGTTCATGGTGCCCTGTGGCTCGGCCCCTCCTGGGCCAATCTGTTCCATCCAAGCCAGGCTCCCCCAAAAATAACATTAAGTCAGCTCTTCCAGGAAAGACATGAGGAGACTCCAGGCAACAGCAGGCAAGACGGAACGAGTGGTCAGCAGCATGCCAACCAGCTCCCAGTCCTGGAATGGACTCAACCATAGACTTAGAGTTGAGTCGGATGGTAGAGTCAGGCTAAAAGATAACAAACATAAAAACATTTCTAAAGTGCTCAACGGTGACCAGATATTATAATTATTAAAGACTGCATAATATCATGGAAGGGTTTATCTAGGTTCTTCTTCATGTATAGTTTGAGGAAAAATAATCAGGGTGGCTACTCAAGCAGTCACAGACAATTTTGGAGATCTTCAATATGTTCATTTACTATTGATACAGGAAAACCTGTCACTGGATGTCTACTTTGGATGCTAAACAACATATTACATCATACTGTATTATATTACATTATGCTACGTTATGGTTTTGTTCTGCTTTAAACACTCAAGAGCCACCTAACGCTGGCTTGAAAGAGGACTGATTTCACTTATTGTTTCTCTGCAAATTTCTTTTACAGGAAAAGAAAGAACTCTTAAAACATCAGATTAAGCACAATGGCAGTTAATGTTTAGCATCCATCCTTGGGGGAAGAGAGGTGGACATCCATCTGCAGAAACATTACAACATGGATGGTGGAGGGGTGGATAAGAGACAAAGGCCTGAGCTTCTGCAAAGGCTTGGCTTTAAAGACTGCCTCTGCCAGTTACAAAAATAGACGACTAAAACGTAAAAATCGATTCTAATGGCAAGCCGATCACTGCACTCTCCATGTCCAGGATATTAGGGAAATCTGAATATTTGATTTAGTAGCACCCTGGGAGCCCGGGAGCCTGAAAACCCTCCAATAACCTTGAAAACACCCACTTCCTGTAGTAGAGAATTGAATGCCTACATTAGGCAACACCCACCCAGCAGCCTCGCGTCCTGCAGTTAAAGGACAAAGACTAGAAGGCGCGCACCAGCCGTCGGAAGTGGGTTTTATTTCCTCACCAACCGGTGAGGGGTGAGTGGCGGGAGTCGGTGCTCTGGTCCTCCCAAGAGCTGGCTCTCATCCAGGCGGTGGGGCGGGCTGGGGGATGGGGCGGAGGTCTGAGGTCCGAGGTCCCAGTCCTTCCCCTTCCTCCCCGGGGGAAGGGGAGCAACAAGAGATAACCTAAAGCCCCACCCAGCGCAAGCAGCCCGCCCCCACACACGGTCACATTCGCACGCCCCAGGAGCGCAGCCACACACACACACACACACACACACACGCACACGCACACGCACACGCACACGCACACCCTGGGTTCCCCTCCCTGCACCCGGAAGGCGGAGGGAATCCTGAGAATTGGGCTGGAAAGGGAAGGCGGCGAGGCTGGAGCCAGGATGCTGGACTGCGGGCGGCCTGGGCGTCCTCGGCTCCAGGACGCCGCTCTCCTGCCGGGAAGGTCGGGGACCCGCGGGGCGCACGTGCGAGTCTCCGCCCCTATCGAGCCTGGCTGGGCCCCTGTGCGCCCCCGGCGGTGACCGCATCGCGGGGCTGAGGGGCGCTGGGAGGAGGCCAGGGGAGGGACGAAGCGGCCCCGAACGATGACGGGATCCCACCCGCACGACCGTTGTCCCCACTCCTCCAGGCGCCCCGGGGAGCATGTGGCTCGAGCCTTGAGCCTCGGGCTCCAAAGCTGGAAAGTGCGCGGTGGCCGGCCCTCGAGGGCGCAAAGCTATAACCGTCCCGCAGAAGGGTTTTGCGGTGTAGACCCTCAAGATGAGTTGGAATGACGCGACCCCATCCCAGAGGCCGCGGACTTCAGAGGAAGCCGGCGGGCTCTGCAGCTGCCAAGTTCAGCGCGAGGTCGCCAGCCATCAGCGAGTAATCACTGCTGTCCTGTCGCTCTGCTAGGTGTGCGTCGCAGGTAACCACCGGCAGTCCCCAGGAGCTACCACCCCTCCGAGCCTGGGGGGCGGGGGGGACAGGGAGGTGGGGCCGGAGGTACGGCGCAGGCTGCGGCAGAGCCACTCCCCACCTCACTGACTACCACGAATCGGCCCCACACCGAAAGCCCCCGCTAAAGCCGGGCGCGGTGTCAGGCCCTGCAGAGACACGCAGTCCCTGGACAGGACGCGACCTGCGAAGCAGCCGCACAGTGTCCCTGATCGATTTCTCAAAGGCTCTATTCTTCCCAAATTCAAGCAAACTGGCAGGGACAGACGCCCACAGGAGCTTCGTGGGGGCCGCTTTCCTCGCCGGCAGAGCGATGCTCAGGGACAAATATGCCCACAGAAGGGTCCTGCCGGGAAACTCGAATGGCAAAGAGGCCGCGGCCGCCTCCGCGCTGGCCCCTCCTCCTGCCCAGGGACCAGGCCTCTCGCCTCTCTGGGAGTCTTCTCGGTTTTCCGCGCAGGTTTCTTGTGTGTTAATACTCGGCCACATAATCCCCCCAGGAGCTGGGGTCAGCCCTCAGGAAACCCTCCCAAGCCCTCTTCCGATTACGTCCCCACTTAACACAGGTGTGACCCTGATCCTCCACCTCTGGCAAAATGGACAAAGGTGGCTTTTTCCGCATGGGTCTGGCTCTCCTTGCAAACGCAATTGCTACTTGCTAAGACGTGTCCTCTTTTCTAGTTCCGGTGGGAACAGGTGAGGGTTAGGCGCCCACAATCACCTCAGCGGGTTTCAGTGTGGCACCTCTACTAGAGGAGACACTGGGTCCCTCTCACTCCAAGCCCGCGCCCCGCGGGTGTCTTTAGACCTGAAGGCGGGTGGCTTTTCACGCCCTACCGGCCGCATAAAAAGTGAGATCCTTGCCTGGGAATCCGGGAGGCTCCTTCTGGCCTCGCTTAAACCTCGGAGTCCCAGCGCAGCTACAGATCCGTCTGGACCGCGCAGGAGCGGAGCTGGGCCTCCGTGTCCGCAGCCTCGTAGGGGCTTTTGTGTGAGTAAAGCCAGAAACTTCAGGGCACCACTTGCCTGCGAGACCCGAGTCCGTCCCTTCTTCCTCCCAGGAGCTGGGACACGGGACGGGGCAAAGGTGGCCTAGAAACCCTCTGGATGCATCGAGTGTCCTGCGTCCAGGGACAGGGGGAGGGTGCTCTTGTTCAAATCTGGGAAGGGGTCTACAACTACCTTCCAGGCGGATTCGCATCCATTGTGCACGAGTCAGCACTCCACAAAAATTTCCGTGTGTAGTAAACTCAGCTCCGTCTCCAGCACTGGCCGAGCCGGCTGCCCGGACTGTGCAGGGGGACGGTTAAGACCCTGATCATGCAGACCCCGTTCGTGCGCCCCAGAGCGAGAATTGAAAGTGCCGGGCTTGACACCCAGACCGCGGAGCTGACTCCCCGAACCGGGTCTCGGGCCCTCGAGCTGGTGATCTGGGTTTGCTCTGAAGCCCGCCCCCTTCCCAGAAGCCCCCTCCCCTCCCCTGGACCCTCGGAAAGAGGGAAACACTCACCTACTGCCAGGCAAATGGGGAGCAGCAGCCTGAAGACGAGCCCGCACACCACTTCCGAGGCCATCGCGTCGGTCCCGCGAGTCCGAGCAGAGGGTCTCTAGCACTGGGGTTCCAAGCCCATGCCCGCCTAGGGCCTCCTGCGGCCGGCGGCTCGCAGCCGCCCGGGCATCGCCTCGACTAGAGCCGCGGCGCCGTGCGCCCCGAGGGCGCGCTCTCCGCTTTCCCGGCCTCGCCTCTCCGATCTCCCTGCCGCCGCTCACCAGGCCCTACGAAGCCCCCTCGTCGGGCGCCCGACCTCTCACGGCCGGCCCATTCAGTGCGGACTCCCCGAAGGTACCGGAGGTTTCTGCAGCGGGTGCCGGAGGCCGGAGCTGGGGACCTGGCACTTCGAGAGGGTCCCGCGAGGCGGCGCGGCGAGAAAAGGGGAGAGGAGGGTGTGCTGTCCTTTCGGCGGCTCCCGGGATGTCGCTCGCGGTCAGCGGGGAGCCTTCTCCGTGGAGTCTTCTCAGAATAGAGGTGACGGCGTGGCCCTCGTTCGACCTGAGCTCCCGGAGCGGCCCTGGCCCCGAGCGGCCCCGCGGTGGCTCCCTCAGCGGTCTTCGGTTCAGCCTCTGCGCCCCCGGGCTTCGGGCCGGAGACAGCGGGGCGCGGGCGCCCGGACTCGCGTAACCATTCCCGACTGCTCGGGGCTCCCTGACCGGTCGGCAGAGGGGCGCGCGAGGGGGCAGCCTCCACTCGCTCCTCCTCGGCCTCGACTTAAAGGAATAAAATGAAAAACGAACGCCGCCCGGCGGCCAGCGCGCCCCCGCCCCGCGCGGTGCAGCCTCGCCCTGGCGGCGCAGCCCCGGCTCCGGGCGGGCGCGCACTTCTCCACCTTCAATGAAACTTTCGAAGCCGCGCTCGCGGACGGGCGTGCGCGCCGGCCAATGGGAGGCGACTCGGGGCGGTGCGGGGTCCCGCCCCTGGACGGCTGGAGGCGGGCGCGAGGCCCGAGTGCGGGGACCCAGCGCAGGCAACCCCCCGCCTGCGAGTGATGGGCTTGGCGCGCTCGCTCCCGGACCCTCAGGGCCGCTGGGTCCAGTCCTTTTGCAGACTGAAGGAACCATCCGGTCCCCAAGGCGCGGCCCTGAGCTCACCCCCAGCCCGGGGAGTCCTTTAAGGCTCCAGGAATCGTGCACAGGCGACAGGAGAGCAGAAGTTGGCGCGACTGTCACTGTGCTAGGTCCACACGTGCCCACTTGCACGCACTGAGAGGAAGAAAAGCGGAATTCGTCCAGACCAGTATCCCTGCGCATTCTGAACGGAGCGAGAAGTTTCAGCTTTGACGGGGCACTGGGAAATCCTGGGTCTTTCCAAATTCATTGGGTCATTGGGAAATCTGCGAGTGAACATAGGGATCAGATGCGCGCCCACTTAGTAGATTTTGGAGACGTCTTGTTTTTGCCTCAGGTTTGTTTGTTGCTTGTCGTGGCCCCTGGGAAGAGAGTATACTGTTTCTCTTCTCTACTCATAACCCCTGTTTTCTCTTTCTCTAGGTAAGATCTAGAGATACCTGGTTCTAGCTGGGAGATGCTCGTTTCTCAATTATCCAGCAGTTTTGTCACTGAGGGGACCCTGGAGACCTGAAACAGGTGATCTGACCTGTAGGGAGGACCCTTCAAAACTGGCATTTCCATCAGGAGGGCAGAGAGGCAAGAATTTGACTTCCACCAGCCTTCTGGGCTTGAACTGGTGTTTGATGATGGAGAAGTCTGCTGATGGAAATTTACACAAACCTTAGTTCTCTGTGATAACCAACAAGGTCTCCTTTTAGAGATACAATAAGCTTGCATTTTGAGCCCAGATTTCTTCACAAATTCCAGAGAAAGACAAATACACTGTGAACCAACACCTTTTTATGAAGCCGTGATGCAGTCAGATCTTGCAAAGTCACACCAAAACTTAGACCATCCTTGTATTCTGGAACCGTCAAGAAGTTTCACCACCAGAACTCCAAATGTCAGTGTGCACTGCGCTAGGGCTAGAGAAGACAACAGGAACTTAAATTATCAGCAAATCATTGTCCTCTCCCAGGAATTGTGTTTTATAGAAGCCTGATGACAATCTGCACCTGTTTTCCAAGTCTAGCACTGTGATGCTCACAGGTGGTGTCCTCTGGTTCTCCTTCTCTCGAACTCTCTGATACAACTTGTTTTGGGGACCTAATTAGGAGGTCACAAAGCCCTCCTGAATTTTGTGTAACACTGTGTCACCACATGAATCCTCAGTTTACTCTGAATATTTCGTCATGTTCTTGGTAGGTTTCCAACACTGTCTTTTTCTTCTTGTTGTTCAGTCACTAAGTCATGTCCAACTCTTTGTGACCCCATGGACTGCAGCACACCAGGCTTCCCTGTCCTTAGTTGTCTCCCAGATAACTCAAACTCATGTCCATTGAGCTGATGATGCCATCCAACCATCTGTCACCCCCTTCTCCTCCTGCCCTCAATCTTTCCCAGTATCAGTGTCTTGGAGCTTCAGCTTCAGCAACAACAGTCCTTCCAATGAATATTCAGGGTTGATTTCCTTTAGAACTGACTGATTTGATCTCCTCACAGTCCAAGGGACTCTCAAGAATGTTCTCCAATTCGAAAGCATCAATTCTTCAGTGCTCAGCCTTCTTAATGGTCCAACTCTCACATCCATACATGACTACTGGAAAATCATGGCTTTGACTATGGCTTGTCCGATAGACAGGACCTAGACCTGTCTAGATGTCCTCTGAATCACTATCTCAGATACCTGGCTAGGAGAGGCACGATCTTCCCTAATCCACCTCCTACTTGTCCTGCCCCTCTGTGTACCAAGTTGACCATTTGGTCTTTAGAGACTTTAAGACCTGGATCCCACTTCTTTGTCCACCCACACATACAGTCAAGGAGTTTTAGTTGTCTGCATTTTACTAGAAGGTGTGCTCTCCCTGGCTGCATGCTACAGGCACCTGGGATCTCTCCATTAAACCAAAACCCTTGGTTTTGACTCTGACTTGTTCTCGGCCCCTACACCTGTGTGCTTGAGAAAGCCAGGAGGTGGTGCTCAGGTGCGCAGTCGGAGGAGAGAACCACTCTCCTCATTCACATGTCAGAACTCCAGAAATAGACCATGGTTTTCAAAACTTGCCTCGCCCAAGCAACGCCACATTTCTGGAGCTGTATTTTCATACTGTGGTGACACAGGCCTGCACGGCAGTAGTCAGAGGTGTTGTCTTTACAAGGGCTGTTTTACCCTAAAATTTCCCCAGTGTGAGGAGCAGTAGCTAATATCTAGACCGGCTGATTTTTAAGGATTTTCTGGCCCACAAGACACGGCTCCCCTTGGTCAGGAGCCCTGTTTGGCCAGCCACTTTCATCCTCCATCTTAGTATGATCTTGCCTGAAACCTGGCACAAGGTAGAAAATGCTTTAAGGAGAAAATCAACTCCATTGGATACTCATAAACACATTGTTTTGATATCCAATGAGCACCTAAAGGATATGACCCCAACTTTTGCCCACATGATGAATCAGGCACTGGTCACTCCAGGCATCTCTGCATCCACATGGGTGGGTCATTACTGACACTTTAATGCCTTGGATTCCTCTTCCATACATTAAGGAAAGCAGTACACACTAGCTCATATGAAGTGCTACGTAGATAGAGAGAACCCTCAGAGATGCCTGGAGCACAGTTATCATCTGATGAACAGTAGCAGCTAATATTAGCATTCATGCTATTGCCATTGCTATTATTGAGAAACAAGAACTATTCCTGCATTTCTGAGGCTGTTATGCTAAAACACGATAACCTGCTCTGATACTCAGAAAGATGTCCTGGCCTCAATAACATGTTAAAAACTGCCCCCACCATCCACTGAGAGACATTCTCCTGAGGGTTTGAGATTTAGCCACAGAGAATATGGCACTATGGCTTCTGTGGGTTTTGTCTCGCCTGTGGGTTTCATCTCACCTGTTTAGGCTTCATCTTTCTGACTTGGTCCGATGCCCCCCAGTTGACAAAATCACTCAGAAACACCATCCTTGTCCCAAAGGCTAATTTTCTCTACTGTGCTCAAAATCAAACATGGAGTCAATAACCTTTTTCAGTCTCAAATGGTAACTTTACCAGTGTTTCCCAGAGGAGTATAAAAGTTGTCAACTTGGCATTTTCTTCTCCCAGTGAAATCTGCCAAGATCCATAGGCGCCATTGAGCCTGCAGAGAAAGTGGTGCCTCCAGCCAACTTAAGGCCCTCTTCTCCCATCAGTAATGTGTGTTCTGTCGACATATGTACTCACTTCATATTTTCAGAGATTCGCGTTTCTGTGTTTTCATTTGTAAGTCACAGTATTCGTCTAAAAGTGATTTTAGTTAGAAGCCACGTGGTTTTTGGCTCTTAAACTTGAAAAACTTGGAAGCAGAATGAAAGCCTGTCTTCTCTTTGCTAATATATTCTGTGGTTACATTTTTTAAGCTGTCAGTTTGATGTTTACAGCAGAAGTATTTTTAAGGTCTCCAAATTCCAAAAACCCAGACACCTTCTAATAATTTGTGGGAGGCATCATTGTGCTATGCTTCTTCTAAAAAGGTCTCCCCCAGGTGGTCTCCCCCACAGTCATCTACAGCAAAAAATGAATCAAATCCCTATGTGTATTCCTGTTTCACCATCTGCGGCATCTGGCCCTTACCTGCCATCTTTCTGCGGGATGTACAGAAGTTTACACCTTGGCCCAAAGTGCAATTTTTGAGTTGTCATGTGGATTAGAATCTGAAGCCAACTGCTGGCTTTGTGTCTGATGATCAAGAACTTTGAAAACTCAGCCAACTGACGTGTCCATGCCTTAGTTTTTCAATCAGATTTTAGGCTTTCAGGGCATGGGTGGAATTCCACCTACAAAGCAAGCTATGAAGCAGGCTATACAGCAAAATATTGTCTCCAAATTGTGTTCTGGTTACTTGTGCCCATTACACACACACACACACACACACACACACACACACAAATATCTATTACAGGGTAAGAAAGATCTCATATGAGAACACAGGAGCAT